CGGATGCGCCTGAAGTGACCTGTGGCCCCGATGGACTCACGAGCAGGAAGAGGATTGTGTCCCGTGAGGTGGACATCACGTGGATTTATGAGGAGACTGCGAGAAGCCCTCTTTCTCAGGGAGGAACTGCTATGGATGATGAATAATGGCAAGATGGACTGCATCCCCCACCTCCTGTTCCCCCTTGCACTGATGCAGGGGAGGAGGTCACCAGGAAGATGGGATGAATGGGGCAGGTGTATTCAAGATCCAGTTGTATTTCCTTATGCATTCCTCTCACTATCCTACTCCAAGAATGGTGGTGGTGAATTAAATTTATGCTTTTCTCCCCAAGTCTATTTTGTTTTTTACCTGTTGTCTTAAGTGGTAGATTATTATCCTCCTTGTCCTTAAGCTCAGTCCCTGAGACCTTTTCAATTTAGTTTTCTCCCTCCACATTCTTGTGGAGATGGGGATGGGAGGAGGTGTGAGCAAGTGACCACATGGTTCTTTGGTTTTGGCCCAGGTAGTCAGCTTGAACCCGAACAATAGAAAGTAATTCAGACCTGGTACATGGGCTAGCTGCAAAATGGGAGTAACAATACTGCAAACCTTCTAAAAATGCTTTGTTATTTGCTCACTGACAATAATTAACTAAACAACATGTTTATTTTGGCTTACATTTATTTCTACTGTGGCTGTGTGATTTGTGATGTTAGGAGTTGTGTCCCTGTCTTGCACTGTCATTGACCAGAGGTGGTTACAAACTTAGAAGCCATGCAGAAGTGGTTTTAAGGTGGACACACCACTTCCCATGCCAGACTTATGTGTCCTCTCCCTGCACCACTTCATGCAAAAACATAATTTCCCCTGCTCTGTGCGACTGCTTTCCCAGTCTTTTATTCATGGACTGTGGCTCAATAAAACACTGACAAGGTGGGTTTTGTGCAAAATGCCATACAGAATAAAGTCATGTTTTCACCTTACAGTGACCCAGGAACAGATGTACAGGGTGTCCGTGCCAGGAGCTGGGAAGCTGTCAGGTCCAGGAGGGTCTCTGTGAGGCAAGGTCAAGGCTGCTCCAGCAGACCTACTGCAGGGCACAGCTCAGCCCATCAGCCGTGCTGGTGGCTCCTCTGGGAAAACACCATTAAGACAGGCAGAAACACTGCCCGGTAGTGAGGAGCAAGGAAAATTGTGAGAAACCATCGTGCAACAAATAGGATCAGGTTATAAAACACCACGGCCATCGTGCACAGATGATAAGATAAAGTTGCTCTCTGAAGAGATGGAATAGTCTTCCCAGCCCTGAGGAAAATGTTACTCAGCTACAGGACACTCCACCAGCTGGCCTCAGGGATAGGAAAAGGCCTGTTTAGTTTGTCAGCATGGCAATGGGTACTCTGTTTCATGTAGGTTTGTGACTGTACTGCCACTAACTCTGTAACTGGACCCCTGAGCTTGTACACAGGGATGGAGAACAGAATATCCCTCCTGTAATCCAGGAGGAAGCAGTCAGTGACCTGCTGTGCCACTCAGATCCCAAGTCCATGGGTCCAGATGGGATTCACCCTAGGGGCCTGAGGGAGCTGGCAGAAGAGCTGGCTAAGACACTCTCTATCATTTAGCACGAATCCTGGCTAACTGGGGAGGTCCCAGATGACTGGAGGTTGGCCAATGTGACACCCATTCATAAGAAGGGCCAGAAGGAGGATCCTGGGTACTATAGGCCTGTCAGCCTGACCTCAGTGCCTGGCAAGGTTATGGAGCAGATCATCTTGAGTGCCATCAAGCGGCATGTAGAAGACAACCAGGGTACCAGGCCCAACTATCATGGGTTTAGGAAAGGAAAGTCCTGCCTGACCAATCTCATCTCCTTCTATGACTGGGTGACTCGTCTAGTGGATGAGGGAAAAGCTGTGGATGTGGTCTACCACAACTTCAGCAAAGCTTTTGACATAGTCTCCCACGGCATCCTCCTGG